TTTTACATGCGGAGCAAAATCCATACCGAGAATAACAATCGTAAAAGCTTTCATCGACAACCATGTAGTAGCTGTCGCCACATTTGCTAAACCCCCTTATGAGTTCGTTGCGTTTCTTAAGCCATTTGGAATATCGTCTAAAGTTGTCGCTATGGTTATTGGACTTGTGTGTTGGAAGTGAGTATATTCTAGCAAACTCGCTCACAAATGTTGGCGTGCATTCTTCGCTATTTCCAAGTAATACCAGGACATCGTAAATATTATCATTATGGTAGTAGACGTTGTTAATTTGAGTTGATTCTATGATGACGGGTTGCGAGCAAGGAATCCATTCAAGTCTTAAGTATTCACTTTCTGAGGAGGATTGAATCAAGTTTTCAATTGCTGGATTATTAACCCCTGCGACTAATGACATCGTTTGAATACTAGGTAGAGAGCACTCTCGACGTTTATTGTGTGGTGTAGCTAATAAAAGGACTCAACGTTGATTGTGTTACATCACACGGATCTCCAAGGGGTTCAGGGGTTCAAGGGGTTACAGTTTTGTGTTTATTATTATATATGCGCAGTAGCGTTAATATACGGGTTTTATCGCGATCGGATCGATAAAACATACGCCAACTCGCGATCGGTGTGTTTTCTAGTCCACTCACCTTGCCTAAGCGGTTATAGTAATAGTAGAATAGGGTTTGTTTCTTTCTTTGAATTAATTCTTGTTTATTACTAATAATACGGAACTATCTACACAGTGAAAGTCGATACAACGGTTCGTTGGTATAACGGATTTCGGGATTTTTTTTTCCTTGGAACCAGAGTTTTACTAATTAAATATAGCAGATTTTACTATTAAATTGTTGTAGTGCGGTTCCGGATTTTTTTCGATGAACGTCGCTTGATAAGACATTGTTCGATATATTAGATCCGCACTAAAGTACTAAAATGGCCGAACCCGTTATAATTTGTAGTAGATCCGTACTAAAGTGACCGAATCTGTTATAATCCATAGCAATATTATTACTAACATACAATATTACAGCTTTAAAAAAGAAAGACGTGCCTCTAATGCAAACGTTCAACAGAAAGCTCTAGCAAAATAATATGGCATTTCACCCCCAGCAAGTTTCAGATATACTTTTACTGTGTACTAATAAATATCAAGTAATAATAAAAACCGTTATATCAAACATTTTCTGAGCCTGCTATATCGGATTTTCGATAAAACGGACGATATTATAATATAACGGATTTTGTGCCTGTCCCGAGGAATCCGTTATATCTGTGTTTTAAATTATCGCGTAACTGCCTGGACCCATGTTATGAAACGCGATTTATTTTATACGTTGTCTGCTGTTTGTACGCTGATCTACTGTTGATGTGTCATCATGGTTTAAGAATATGATTTTATAAAAGACTAATACTAAGACTAGAACCGCCGGCTCATATTTTTTTGTCTCTGTTCTCTTATAAATTTTTTTACATATTATAATAAGTGAGATGATTCTGATTTCGACAATAATGGTGAAGCTCTTCAAGAACTCAAGCAAGATTATGTTTATCATATAATTGGAAAATTTGCGCTGGTGGAAGACGACGTTATAGACATCGTAATTACAACGAGCAAACGTTTAAAATTAGACGCGGATGCCATTCCAGTCGGTCAACCAACACTTGGTAGAACTATGCAACTTCCCTATTAACAAAACAGGGTATACACTTCCCATCCAAGATCTGAACAGTGCATAATGCGGACCTTTTGACATAACGTTAACCCACAATCCCCAAGGGCAATTTCGAACAGCAGGATAATGATACTAATAAACCAAAGGCGACAAATTCCATAAAAAAATATTGCCGCTTTAAAAGCGTCTTCAACCAAAAAGTTCTTAACCACAGACATCTCCCGCCAGGACAGAAACCTGTTTCCCCAAGAACAACGAAAATTAATGAAATTGCTAAAACGCTGGCAACAAAAAATCCAACTCGTACAGTTGATAATGAGTGAAGAGCCGAAGGAATGCAAAGATAAAAAAGCGACGGAATGCACAATTGATATCGATTCTTGTGATGACAATAATCGTCGTGACAATAACGATGAAATCCAAGAAATTGCTTCTAATTCGGAAAGTGAAGCGGAGAAAGAATTAAAACTAACAAACGTACTACAAGAAGGGTTAATAATAGAGCAAGCGTCATTAAAAGAAGAAAAGTTCGAAGTGTCTCACATTTTATTATATTAATTAGAAACACCTTCTTGTATATATACATATAAGATCGCTATAATTAGGCCATACATAATGAGTAAATATACTAATATACTCTCTAATATCCACCCCGTGAATTCTCCAGTAGTTTCATATCCGTAGAACGTAGCTATCTTTTCGTCAAGAGAAATCAACTATATTCAGACTGATAGGAAAGGAATCTTTTAACGACTCGGGCTGTGACAAGTTTGCGTGTGATGATAGTTTTGGTGACAGCTGAGAGAATCAAAAAACAATCAGTTAGACCAATATTACAATAAACATG